GATCATCATCAACCTGCCCTCTCTCCCCCGGCAAGGTAATAAGGTGAGGGGGAGTAAATGTGTGCATGTGTTTTTTGTTTTATTTAATAATTAAATTAGTACATTGATTTTACAAGCCCCAATTAGTAAATTGATTATTTAAGTCCCCATCCCTTATACCCACAAACTTCGCCCCTGCACCTACATTAACTTAGACACTCTACACACACTCTGTACCCCTCTATACACACAACACCTGCTGCACTTACACATACAAACACACTCTATACTATTTATAAATACAACATCCCTTGCACTCACACACACTATACCCCCTATACACTGCACTCACACACATTAAACACACGCTATACCCCCTATAAATACACACATTACACTTTCTGAATACACACACACACACAAATGCACTACACACACACACCCTATAAACAGACACTACACCCCCATTGCACTCAATTGCATTCACACACACACTATACCCATGTACACATACATTATACCTCTACACACACACACTCACACACACACTACACCTTCTGTGCACAGACCACCTCTATATACATATTACCACACCCATACACCCATGTGCACTACAGCCCCTATACACATACACACAAAATAGAACCCCCTGAAGCCCCTAGATACACACACAGAACAGTTCTTACATGCAAACGCAACACCACCCTAGGTCTACTAAAGGCTCCCCTAGGTCTACTAAAGGCCCTATAAACACGCTCACACACACACAACACAATCACATAATTAACAGCCCAGAAACACACTCACACACTACAGCCAGTAGCCACACATAGTACACCCCAAACAGACCCCTTTACACACTATAGCACAAACAGTCTCCTCTATACACAAGCAATTACATAAACACCCTCCAAACATATACAACACGACAAGAAGCACCCGCACATATGCACAGCACGTTTTAAGAGCCCTGTTCCATTTTTGCTCTCTGGTGTCCTCAGCATATGCTTGCAATGTGCAGAAAAAAAACTGGAAATTTTCTTGATCCGAGAGCACTGGATGCATCACACTAATATACTAATTTGAAGGGAAGGGAGATTGTCATTGGTGATGACAAACATGCCCCTTTCACACCCCACCCCCCCAGTGGGCTGCTCTACCTTTAACTGTCCGGGATGACTTTTTGTCCCAGTCTATCCCTGTGTCAGCCTGTCACTGCCCATTGAAATAAATAGTATATATTGACTGCAAGCCAGCCACCACATAAAAATATAAAAATAAAAGCATAGGGTGGTCAATATGCCTATGGGGGAGGTTATCTCTGATAAACAGCAGCAATATATCTATATTATAGCTCCCAACCACAACTAATGGATAAGAGCTAGTGAGGACACCGGTATCCCCCCACCCCCCAATGCAAGCTCCCACCTGCTTGACAAAGATGGGGGTGGGGTGAACAATTCCCATTGTTAAAATGTAGCCCTTCCCAATATCCATTGCTATGGGTGGGTTAAAGGAAGTTACCAGTGCCTAGTCTACCCCAATTAATTTATTGGGGATGTGGCATTGTTAGTGACTGGGCAGCAATAACTACTTCATCGCTAAGTTTGGTAATGGTGAGCAGCTGCTGGCTGTGCATTGTTTACCAGCTATAGCCTGGTGGGTGGAACATAATTAAGGATTAATCCTCCTATGTAGTTAGATGGGATCAAATTGATCTCCTTAAGATTTTATAAACCTTCCAACATTTCAAATGGACAAAAAGGGACACTTTACGTTAGGGTTGTGAGTGAACTTTTGGCCATGGTGGGGCTGTTCTTAGAAATTTTAGGTGACTTATTAATAACAATTTATGCAACTGAACTGTAATTTAGAACAAGAACAGTGTATGTTATTTACACAGACTGATTTCTAAACACATTTATTGTAGTTTAAAGACACATTTGTATTGTCCCTCCTAAACAGAGATATGTGAGACCTAGCCACTCAAATAGTATCATTGTCTGGTAACTAAGATAGGTGCAGGAAGTTAGACAATCAAAGAACCACTGCTCCTAACTAATCCGCTCAGGTTGTAGTGACAACTGGTAT